AACCCCTCCCCGCCCGCCCCACTTTGGAGTGGTCTTATTCCTTCCTTCAAGCTGGGTTCCTCTACCAGAGGCCTGGCAGCTTGAGGGTCCTGCGCAGTATCTTAGCTGTTCCTAGGACTGCACTCTTCTGGACAGAGATCTCAGATGTTGTTCCTGGGATCTGTTGGAGCCACTCTCCCAGTTTGGGGGTCACAGCTCCCAATGTTCCTATTACCACAGGGACCACTTGTGCCTTCACCTTCCACATCTTTTCTAGCTCTTCTGTCCGGTTTGCCCAGCTTCACCTGCCTTTTTCACCTCCTTCACTCTGTTTCGCTCCCTCGGCCCTGATTACACTATCTGGCACACCTGCTTCACATCCCCTGATTATCACCAGCTGTTCCTTATTAGTTTTTACCCTACTTACACCCAGCTCTCCTTGCACTCCCCTGCCAGTTCAATCTCAATCTCAGGCCCCTTATGTCGTTGTGTTCTACCAGTTTTATCTCCCAGTCCTTTGTGTGTCTCCTAGCTCCTACCAGTACTGTTTCTCTACTCCCCGTTGCCACACGGCTTCTCACACGGACTTCTCCTCCGGACCCTGGACCTACTCTGCTCATCCAGTCTTCACCATTCAGGTTGATGCACAGTCATCATTATTCATCTGTACCAACTACTGTCTGCTCTCTTCTCAGCCACCACCACTTCCCCGTTGACCAGCTCAGGAGTGACCCTAGCGTCCGCAGCCCGGTTGTGTAAAACTGGGCCCTTCTTGGCATGGGCCATGGTTAGAACAACTAGATCACCTTGTAAATTTGCAGGCTTCATACTGTATGTGTGCTTGTACATCAAAGTGAGTGCTGCTGTGTTTGCTCAGAGTTCACCTCTGTGTCACCTGTGTTCCCCTCTGTGTCAGCAAACGTTAGCAGCAGATGTGGAGCACATTCTGAACACGGTACGTTCTGAGCCACAAATATGCTAATATGAAAATACAGCACACAGTCTCATTTCGCAACTCCTCTATGTGGAAAAGCTGCCACAATCTTATGAAGTAAACATGTTTACAGTGCGATTTTTTTCTTAAAGTCCTGCAGTCTATTTTCAGGAGGAAAGAAAACAACTTCACTTTATCTGTTTAGATAAGCCCAGATGCCTTCCCTTTCAGCCATGATTTTGAGGGGAGAAGGAAACAGCAGTAAGCATTAATTTCCTTTAAAGAGCTAACTCATGCCTTGAATTATTAGGTAGAACACAGCTTGTTCTCTCTCTTTATTTATACATCCTCTTGATGATCATCAGTGTTTTTTCCTGTTACAGCATCTGTTTACATCAGCACTGTAATGCAGTGGGAAGCCTTCATTAACATCTTTCCTGTGAGGACACATGGTGAATAGTTATTAAGAGAATCACATGTCCAGACATCAATCAGTGTGCTCTCAAGGGGGAATGCCTTGTTCTCTGAATTTAAAAAAATCATTTCCTTCAGCAACAGTGCTTTCAGCGCTGATAACTGTTCTGAACATTTCTGGGCAAAACATGAGGGGAAAAGGCCTGAAAAGTGACAATATGACCTCTCCAGTCATGAAATGTAATCACATTAAGAACCAATGTCCTGATCCTTGAGTGATATAAACAGTGGTGCTTAGGTGGAGAGAAAGGGAAAAAAAACCCTGTTCACCCCTATAGAGAACATTCAAATCCTAGAAGTGATACCTCCAGTGGGTAGTGTTCCAGTTGGGAAGTGAGAGGAGTTATTTTGAGCAGTGTTCTTGGAAAAGGCTCATTAATTTTCTCACTGTGCCACTAACATGGAGCTGAAAATTAGTACTAGAAACCTGTTAAAAGATTGAGTAGTTCAATTCAAATCACTTTCACATTGTGTGCTAATTTAAATACATTTAGCAATATAAAATGATACAGGAGCTAATTATAAACTGTTTCACTAGCAGTGAACAAAATCAAATAAAAAAGCAAACATATCCACTTGGAGCCAATGTAGCTAAACTTAAGTGCCATTGTACATCAGTCACACTGCTTTAAGCTACAAACAGCTCTGATATGTTTATAATTTAAGCCACAACCTACTTAGTTTACCCTTTAAGCTACAAATCGCTCTATTAGGTTTGTACTTTAAGCTACAATGAGCTGTAATGAGACTGAGTAGGTGCCTGGCAGCAACCTGTGTATCACTGGAAGAGTCAGATAATGCTGGTAGACCCATGGTAAAGTTCTGCCTTGCTACCAATTAAAAATACAAAAACAAAACATTTCTGGGTGACACAAGCAGCAAATCACTGTTTGAAACTACATCATAATTATTATTATCTCTGTCAAGGGTGGGGGTTATGTTTTTCATGAGGTTTGTTGGTTTGTGTGTGTGTGTGTGTGTGTGTGTGTGTGTGTGTGTGTGTGTGTGTGTGTGTGTGTGTGTGTTTATTTGTTAACGGCATGAATCAAAAAGTAATGAAAAGATTTGGATGAAATGTTTTGGAGAGGTAGGGTATGGGCCACAGAACAAATGATTAGATTTTGGTGCTGATCCATATCATTGTTTGGACATAGCAATATTTTAAAAGAGTATTCCCCATTGTGAGTGCTGGAAAGGCTGTTGACTGTATGTGAGCCCCCTTGTGGTTAAAGTGGACAGCTGCACTGCTGAGCACTCCCAGCATGAACAGAGACAAATCCCTGGGTCAGTAACAGCTGCCTATTCGTTGTCATTGGAAACTGAGTGCTGTCACTCAGCACACCTCGCTGTTTAAGTGCTGTCACTCAGCACACCCCGCTGTTTAAGACAGGGGCTGAAGGATCCCAGTGAGGTGAAAGCCCACAGGTAGGGAGAGATCTACGCTATACAGTGACAGCAGAGACTCTGAGCCAGGCTCAAAGCTATTACCATATTCATCTGTAGGACTATTATTAAGCAATTTTATGACATTTTGACATTTTTCAGGTGACAAAGTAACCACTTAGATTGAGAATATGTGCTCAGTCTATGCAGGTAATGACAATTTGGAATTAGTTCTGACGTTTTGTGACCATAGACATAGTATACAGTATATGTATATATTTCTGGTTGTGAGTGCTCATTACCTGACCAAGCTAGCTCTATTACCAGGCAACTACATCTTGTTCAGAGCACAGTAGTTTGTCAGTGAGGATGCTGGTGTTCCAGCTGCACATTATAGCTGCATTTCCACTGTCGGAACCTAACGAGTGGTACACCCTGTGCTTCCCATAACTGTCATCCGGCATAGTCCTACTTGGCTTCACTGTATTTTTCTCTGTGTTAGTCTCTGTTTAGAGGAGAGAGGGGGTGTGCTTCTCCAGTAACATAGACTTTATGAGCAGTTTGTCAAACAGCTATTGAACAAGCAGAACACAAATTGGTAGAAATGTGACATCTTGCCAGCGGTCCACTCACTGAGATCTCCATTCTATCTGTAAACTGCGTGAATGTCTGTCATGTCTAATTTGCTCATTGGGGCTTTGTTGGGCTTTCCACAAAAGTCTAGACCCTACTATGTGTTGGGCTTTCCACAAAAGTCTAGACCTTACTATACTACTACTGCCTTGTTGTTGTGAATTGGTGCTATAACCTACCAATAAAAATACTGAATTGTCAGGAATTTGTTTAAACCTTCAATGACCTTTTTATGGGTAGTGTAAACAAGTTGTGAACACGACATTAACATCATCACCTTTCAAGTTGATATGGTGATCTTGTTAGCAAACTGCATGTTATCTGCCTGTTTGTGTCAACCTGGCAAATGCAAGTCTAGTGTTCCACTATGTTCACTAGCTGGTCTCCACCGTTGTCTGTTCGGTGCAGAACAGGTAGTGTAGAGTGGATTTTTTTTTTTAGCTTTTTCACCTGCTGATACTAAAAGCTATGCTGCGAGAACAGTAAGTGTTAGCTAAAACAGTAGGGTCAAACAGCTAAACAATGAGCTGAAACTGTCAGGGTTCTGTCCTACTGCTTCCTGTTTCAGGCTCTTATTTTGTTGCCACTTCCTGTTCTAGGTTCATTTCTGTTATGCACTCTTTATTGTAATTTGTTTAAAATGTTGCTCCAAAAGCTCCAAATGACCATAACCTTTCAAAGCATCTGAAGTAAGCAAAAGTGCCCTGCACATGCACAGGATCTCCATGAAAGCACAACAACAACAGAGTTTTATGGCACAAAATGTTACAGAAAAAGAACAACCTTATCTTTTAAGGATTGATAATAATAATAAAAATAGGTTGACTTGAGTGACTCACATTGGTAGTTAGCAAAAAGCTAACCCTAACCCGGTCTTCATTAGGCCCTGTTCCTGTCTGCATAATGAAGTACATTTCTTCAGAAAATACTGATCTTATGCACGTTACATTTCTATTTGTTCTTGAGTTATGTCAGTGTTTTCCCCATTCACCACAGCAGCAAGAGACACTGAATTACTCAACAAATTTGGGATGAGGGCAGTGCCTCAGAAGTCTGCATACTATTAAATACTGGCAAATTTGATTTTCTGCATAAAACAAGACTCAGCTGGGGCACTAATGGTTATTAGCTCTCACGCCAATATTTTTGCAACAGAAGTAAACCACGCCTGTCAGGACAAAGCAGTCTTGTTCAAGCCCACATAAAGACATGAAAGAGAAAAATATATATATAAGCAGAAGAAAAGAAACACGCAGATTGTCCAAAACCTCTGCTAAAATAGTGACAGTGATGTGTAACAAGACAGAGCTCAAGATGTCCGTGCGTGACTTAAATGGTCAATGCAGACCTAGTTTATATCTGTGGATAAAATACAGCTCATGTATGCAAATACACAGCCTTTCAACTACCACTCAGGGCCTGTTTGATTTTAAGTAGCTACTACACAGACAGCTTCCCATTGTTCAGCAGTGGAGTGCTCTCTGCTCTCCAGAATTCCTGGGAAGCCACTTCACTAGAAATCTGCTGGCTGTTCTTCCTGTCCTCTGTGCAGGGCTTCACTGTTGTGCAACACATTTTATATTCATTTGAATGCCAGGATTACATTGTCCTGTGGCTCTTTTAAAGCAGATTTTCATCCGGTGTTGTGCAATTTTAGACTCCAAGCCAAATACAAAAACGGGGCTTAGAAATGTGGGCATCAGACAACAACAGCTGTCAAAGAAAGCATCTTCAACACAATCATAAAATGTGCAAACATAGTATAATGAGTTCTTGTATGTCATATAATGAACACAATTTCAAACCTGTCTTCAAATCCGTAAATCTTTTAAGATTCTTTCACCATATGCTATGAAAGCACACTGAAAAGAATGGTTACCAAATAGATAAACATACCTTGCTCAGAGGTTGACTCCAGGCTTGAAGCAGTGAAGATGTGCAAGAAGATGAGGAGCATGTTGAGAGGAGCAGCCATTGTGTTGATCTGTGGATGAAACGTGGCAGATGTTAATTTCTCAGTGCAATCCACCCAGCTGAACGACACAACCCATTGAGGTTCAGCCTACTACCAGCATTAAATCGTGAGACTCTTGCCAGTCTGGAGCTTTTTTTCCAAAGAGGTCAGGTGCATAAAACTGTTTAACATAAGGTAAATACAGTACGCTAAATATTTTCATTGTGCTGCTTTAAGGTAATTACTGTATGCTCTTAAGTTGTTGATTTTGAATTGGACTTCTACATAAGATGTCACACCCTTAAAAAAGATCTTTGTTCATATTTTCATGTGTAATTTGAATTATTCACACGAACTCAAATTTGCTCTCAGTTGTTTGACTAACTGCCACTTCAATTACTTTCAGAAATCTTTGTTGTTTTTTTTACATCAGCTCATTTTCAGACTTTCAGCACTTCACTTCACCTGTCTTCCATCACCTTTGTGTCCCTTGAACTTACAGTACATAAAACGATTATACACAGTAAAATCATGCAACATGTTAATATGAAACAGGTGAGTTTTATACTCAGACATCATCTCTTCACTGCACTGATCCCGACTTGTGTTCATTAATATACATTTCTTTGTTTTTTTTCTTGAGTCTTCTGTCTTGCTAGTTCACGTGTGATTCCTGTGTTCACATTTTATACATTTTTTAACACACTTGTTTTTGATATAGTGACGGTACAATGCAATACGCTCTGATTGCTTCCCACCGTATTACATTTTGCTAAGAGCACGATTGATAGAGTGGCAATATAAATTTTCACAAATATATTCAACAATTCAGTAGTGGTGTGTATGTATACTTTTTTAGATTTGACACTAATATTTATTAATTTAGGTCAAAGTATATCTGCAGTATCTGTGACTTGGTTGGTTTACAGTATTATTTATAGTATGTTCAGTTCCAGTGGCACTTAATCTTTCTTGTTCAAACCCTCAAATAATGAAGGATTCTTTTTAAAAAAAAATGCATTTCAGTATATATATGGTGAAGCTATAGTGTGTGTCCTTGTGACATCTCTTTAACAGCCAAATATAAAGGATACTTCTCAAAAATGTTATGTGTTGTTGTAAAAATAGAATACTGGCTGATACAGTATATTGTGACTGTTTTACTCTCGAAGGTTGATTTTGGCCTCAAATGGTCAGAATCTGTTAGCTCTGTGTGAGGCCAACAATAATTACTGTCGCATAATCATTCACTTTTTTTTGTTCAGTTCAGTGGAAGCTAAATAAGAGTGAATGTTTTAATATTATTCCATGTATGTCCATGACATGCTGTAGTCAGGGGCGAGATTAAAGATGTTCATGTTCACTAACATAAACTCGGCTGTAGTGTCAGCATTATTACTTTGTAATCTCTATCTGCCACTGTTGGTTAATAACAGGAACAGCCGTTGCACTTTGGGGGGGTCTCGTGCCATCCTTTCAGTTTACTTGTTAAACTCTACATGCAATATTCAGCACAGTGAAGCAACGTATACAGTAAATTAAGTAACCATAAAGAAATAAGTCAAAAAAAAGTCACAATCTCTGTTTTTCACTTTTGGTCTACTCACAGTTGAAACTTTTTCACTGTGGAGCGCCTCATGCTGATAAGACAGACAAACAGACTAAACCACCGTTACAACTGCAAATAACAGTCTGATTAGATAAACAGCTTTGGGCTGTACAAGCACACACAAGGTCATGGCAGTGTTTGGAAGAACCTCACTGCCATGTGATTCCTGTTTTCTGATAGACTTTTCATTTCCTCCACTGACATAGGGCCACCTATCATTCATACAGAGTCCAGTGTTTGTTTGGTATATTTCAAATTAAAAGCTGGAGATACTGTACACTGCTTCCATATAATCAACTGTGAACTTGTTCTTGCAAATACAGTGCAACTTTATTACTATTCTGGTTCTATGACCTACTAAAGCTGGGGTCATGGGCTATTGTGAAATCCCTAGATGACACTGGATCTTACAGGCAAAATGCTATGAAGCAGCCCATGGTCTGTCCCTGGATAAAACATTACAGAATAAAGGACAAAATGTACATACTGATGCAATTATAACTCTATTCTTATGTACATCTGTGCTCAGTTGTCACACCGACTGTTGATGTTTTAAAGAGGAAACTGTCAATGTGAAAGAAGCACGGTGTGAGAACATCACATTTTTGTACAGGGACATGTGTTTTTACAACCCTTCTGTGCTAAATGCTGTTGCAACAATTTCAGTTCCTATGTAGTTCATTCATTACAGAACTTTATGCTATATTTATCTGCGATAGTGTGAGTATGCACCATCCACCACAAACATTACTGCTGATGCTGATCTGAATATGTTCATCGGGGGTTTTAAGTGAGTTTTTGGTGTAAGACTCAGTGCACACTTCTCATTCAACCATACAGTTATATCCTCTCAGACTGCTTGTTATTCAAGAGCATGATCATTCCTAAACATACACTGAAATGCAGATTAAAAGAAGAAACATTTTTGTTGTTAGCCAATCCGAAACAGTATCCAAATAACTTAAAACACAGAAGATGCACTGTCATGGTGAAAATATGACTGTGATCCTACAGGCTCCTACTCCAGACCACCTGTAATGTCAGAAAGTAGACGTTAATTTCTCCTTGAAAAGATGTACAAAAAGGGAAGTACACCCTACATAATAAAACCCTGGAAGATGGGAGTAGATGAACCTCATTAAAGCGAACCCAAACTCAGAAGGACGGAATCTGGTAACTGCTCCTATATGAGGCTCTATGAAGTCAAGAGGATTCATCCAAAATGTATCCCTAATAATTTCATTTCATTTTATTGGCTGAGGAATTCTGACAGGGTTATTCCCCACGGATTCACCAGGACTCAGCAGCCTGAATGTAAGGAGAAGGATTTAAGTAGGAGCACATGAAATCTGTTCAAGCAGCACTGTATGTTAGAGCAGACACAAATTTGAGCATGTGCAAAGCAAATCTGCATGTGAGCAGGTAGTACTGGAGCACTCCATCCATGTCTCCACGCCAAATGGAAATCATTCCTTAAAAATCAGCTTTTCCACCCTTTTGCCAGTGAAATACTTGACAGGTGTAGGCTATTTGTCAATTTTAAACCCTGACAGGCTGCTTTTCTACTTTTTAGGGTGCATTTCAAGCTTGTTTTTACAAGGCTTCGCAGTTTTCACCTCTCCTCTCCATGTGTGTTATGCGCCCTGGGATTCTTAGTTAACATTCATGGAGAAACTGTAAATAAAATGATAAAGGCACTGACACAAAGACACACAACAATGGGTAGACACCGATTCTTCTGTATAATTCAGTAAAGACTATTGTTTGAAACCATGCGTTTAACATACAGCTGCGTAAACACGCAAACATGCAGGACAGATATGACAAGTAACTCACCGCGGTGATGGAGTGGATAGCACTGTGCCCCCTTCCTGACTGTTTCACGGGTTGTTTCAATAAAAGAGAAACAACAACACGAACTTCCACACGCGCGCGCACGCACACACACACAAATGAACCAGCTTACACAGTCTCACCAAACAGACCGTTGAAAACCTCTAATAACCAATCAGGAATGTCTTTAACCGAGATCCATGCAGGCTCATAACACTGTCGAAGAAACCGTGCGCAGTGGGCTGGCACTGTGCGCCTGTGTTTGGTGCTGCAGTAACATGTGCAAAAATCACACTGGTGTTTAGTGAGGCTCGGAGAATGACGCCACCTGCCGGTTTGACCTCGGTACAGCATGAAAACAACAAGCAGCAGACACTGGAGGCGCTGACTGAAACATGACACGCAGGCGTGTCATTTTAGAGCAGCTGGCTTATGTCCAGCCTGTGGAGTCACACGTCAGTACGTGTTCAGTCACTCGTGAGTCTAACCCATTCACATGTCAGCAGCAACTTTGGGCTCTGTGCCTTCAGACCAACCCCGCACAACAGTATAGACCACCCACATAATCTCTGCATGCTCTGCATAGCATGTGAGGCTCGGAGAATGACGCCACCTGCCGGTTTGACCTCGGTACAGCATGAAAACAACAAGCAGCAGACACTGGAGGCGCTGACTGAAACATGACACGCAGGCGTGTCATTTTAGAGCAGCTGGCTTATGTCCAGCCTGTGGAGTCACACGTCAGTACGTGTTCAGTCACTCGTGAGTCTAACCCATTCACATGTCAGCAGCAACTTTGGGCTCTGTGCCTTCAGACCAACCCCGCACAACAGTATAGACCACCCACACAATCTCTGCATGCTCTGCATAGCATACACGCACACAGATACACACACACACACACCACGTTTCATGGGGATTTCACACTGACATACCTAATTTCCTAGAGACTTACTCTAACCTTAACCATAAGCTTAAACCAAGGTGTCTCCTCAAAATCCATTGACACATGTCTACATGTCACGAGGAAGGCGGAGTACACACAGTGTGGGTGTGTAAACAGGTTTTGGTTCCCACATGTTGAGACATATCTGGTGCATACACACATAATGTCAAGGGAGTGATTTTGCATATTGGGCTAGAGGCACATCCCTACAAATATTTTGAGAGTACAAAAATGTCCCTGCCATTATTTGAGCAAGCATGTGGACATACCTTTGGAGTGAAGTCATATTAGGTCATTCCAATGTGCCTGACCCACTGCAATGGAGGTGGCTCATGTTACCTGCAAATGTCTCTCACACACACAGATGAGGCCACAGCTGTCCCTCAGTGTGCTGACAAAGGTATGTTATAGTGGCTGACTCCACTAAAGTTGGAAAGATATTCACAGATTCGACAGTAAAAACAGAAAGGCCTACTATAAAAATATTCAATGACTGTACTCTTACCCAGTGTACTGTAGTGTTACCAAAAGTATTTCACACAACAATGGCCCTCTGCTGGTTATACTTCAACTCCTAGTTAGCAAAATAGTTTTTTTCATAATTTGGGGGAATTTTTATTGGTAAAAATATTCAATAACTTCATTCATATACTGTAGCATCAGCAAAATCACTTCACACATTAATGACCATCTGTTGATTGTACACTTAATTAGCAAGAAATATGCTTTTAATTTGGGCGGTGGGGGTGGGGGGTCCTGTAGAAAGAAACTCTTGATAAAATGATATAGTGCTATGTTATGTATTTGCAAAACTGTTCAAATAATTGTTTAATGTGTTTGACCTTTGTAAAGATTTGACCTGTGGACATGAAAGACTGTGAGTAGGTGCAGAGAGACGCAGAACAACAGGAAGTCGTGTAGATACATACTGAGATGACTAAACTGTCTGCACGAGAATTGTGTGTTCGTGTAAGGTCTGATTGTCTTGGCTTCGACTCTTCCTCAGAAATGAACATGCAGGATGCTTAGGTCCTTGTATAAGGTTCATGCATCAGACATGCTTTATGTAACTCTTCCTGTTTCCAGTGAGTTAAAATAGAAATGTGTCTCTGCCTGAGACAAGATTTCTGAGAGCGATTCAAGGGCATGTGTGACGTGAGTTATTGTCTCAACCAGCATCCTGTATTTCATGTAAGGGGAAGCTGGCTTTAACCGGGCAAGTGTGGAGCTCCCTGTTCCATTTCTTCAGTCTGAATTTGACATGAATTGCTTTATATTCACAACTTTGTGAAGCACTAGATAAGTGCTAAGTACATACTGTTATTGTTATTACACTGCACAACATGTTTACAGATATTTGTTACAGAGTGGGTGGATGAACAATTCTGTCACCAGACAGTGTGGTGTACAGATAAAGTAAGAAGGTACAGTATTATGAAGCATATTTTATATGGTTTTATTGATTGCCATTACAAACCAGTTGGGCCAGCCACTGCTTAACATGAGCAAATACAACACAGATGCCATGTGTCGAGCAGAGAGCTGTGTGCTCTTTGCTTGGTTGATGATGAGATTCAAGGATGTTTTGTTTTAGGGGTAGGTTGGTTAGAAAATGGTGTTGCTTACTGTGGGGCTCTGAAGATTTAAGACAGCAGGGCCTGACACCCCCCTCTTTGGGGCCAAATAATGGGTAAATATCATTCAACTCCTATACTGAACCTCCATATGAATGCTTTCCCACATTTAATTGTGTATTATCAACTATCTATTAAACGTCCTACACTAAGACTGAGACTATTACTATAGTCTCATTAAGGAATGAGAAGAAGAGTTATCAGCAAGTGTTGACTGAACATATAGTTTTATCTGTAAACCTTCAAATTTGAATTAAGATACTGTGATGCTGGCTAAAAGGGTGAGATGGGGGTTAAATTATCTTTACATGGCATAAATAGAAGCATTTTAAGATAGAAAAATAAATATGCTTCCATCATAGTAACCAGTACATCAAGGTCATAGGCAGGTGAATAATTCTGGTGGTCTCATTCCTTTAATTTCATATTAATGACATTTCTTAATCTTATTTTATTTTATTTTATTTTACATCTCCAGTCTTCTTGTTATGAAATAACTGTGTGTATTTTTTGCACTGGAGTCAAACCAAGCGGTGAAGTCAAATGTTCTGCAGTATAAGTGGAGATTTTTGACCTTTGCCCAAATCATGCAGACTCCTCTTCTGAAGTCCTTATCAAAGATAAACATTTGTGACACAACTATTTTTGTGACACTCCACTGGAAATGTTCTGCCTTTTTTGTGCCCTACAGCACAAGCAAACAGGATTGTCAATTTTTTTCTCTTTTTTTTGGAAATAAACTCATGTGTGTGCATGTGTGTTTGTACAAAAGTTGTGGAAAAGAACACTGGGTCTGTGTTCATGACTCACTGTAGTGAACTGCAGTGGCGTAAATCTGGTTGTTCACATTTGATAGATGAAAGTTTCTTCAGCGAGGGAACTCCTGAACTCTGGGCTGTGTTGTGTAATCTCCCCCTCTTGATTATATGACCCCAAGTGTTACAGTGCTGGACCAGAAGAGAAAGGCAGACTCTGAGGGGTGCATCATGAAGGTATTTTAAACTTCACAACACATTTACCATTAACATTCGGTGTATTTATTTTATTTTTTTTAAAGTATAGTGTTTTAGTATAAACCTTTAATAATTAATGATCTTGTGTTTTAGGCTGAGACTAGGACCTATATTGCCAAAGTCAAAAGTTTAAAATTAATTTCTTTCAATTTATGACGACAACTAATTAAACAAATTTTTCAAGGATAGAACATATGATGTCTGAGAGTGAGTAAACCACCCTCTTGCTTTTGTTCACAGTCGAACTGGGCTGCAGCTCTTTCTTCTTTGGCCTTGTTGCTTGTCTTAACATGTCCAGTCTGGTAGGTGCACACACACACACACACACACATAAATCACAAACCACACAGGCTGCCCTTATATCCTACGACAGTATCACAATTCAGATAGCATATCAATGATGTAGAAAATCAATCTTAAGCATATAGTGTGCTCCATAATCACTGGACGCAGGACTACTGCTTTAAATGTTGTCAAAGGACTGTGGTTCAGGCCTGTGCTAAATGATAACGGTCCATTACTTTCAGCTGTCAGCAGCCTGTACACTGCAGATGGGGGCCTTATGGACAGTGGTCTGAGTGTGACGGCTGCAGTCATACAAAGGTATGTGTGAGCACACACATACAGTACTCGCTTTGTCTTAGTCTCCCCATAGTTTTTACAGTCTCTGGTGTAAACCAATAGGCTAGCCACCTACCTTTTGAACCGTCCTCAAAGGTTAGTGTAGATTGTTGTGCACCAAAGCTGAACTACACTCAAAACATTACTGACTGCAGCAATGCCATTAATATGAACAGATTTATCTGCAGCAATGTTGGTGTTTCCTGGCTTGTACAGTGAGTTTCTCAGTTTGGGGCTCGGGATGTAATGTGGGGTCACTTGATATAGAGGCAGGGTCATTTAAGAGGTTGATAGACCTATACAGTCATTTTTGTTTGTTATATTTTCATACAAATCAAACTGTTGTCTCCAGATTTTATTAAATATTAGATGTGTCAAAATTTTTGTATAAATCATTAAAGTTTGCCTCTATCTTGAAAAATAACATACACAAGTACAACAACATGAATAAAAGCGTCAAACCAGCTTCATAGCTGCGAGTTATGGCCATTTGAGACTTGAAATATTATCACCAGGAAGGCTTGAAAAAGACACCCTGATCTGATATCCAGTCTTCAGTATTTCTTTCACTGTGGTTCTGAATTGATGGCACAACAAAACCCCAGTAAAAAAAAAAACACCTGATTCTTCTTATCACCACATTTGTTCTCTTCTTTAATTACTTCACTTGTTTCCTTTTCAGGTACAGACTCGTCATGTGGAGGTATATGCCCAGTTTAGAGGCATGCTGTGTTCAGGAGAAGCTAGTCAAACACAGTCATGTGCCCCACAGAAAAGGTGTCCCCTGGAAACAGGCTGTGGAAACAGGTTCCGTTGCATTTCTGGTATGCTTCAACATAATATATCCATCCATCCATCATCTATACCACTTATTCCTGAATAGGGCTGCTGGAGCCAATCTCAGCTGACATTGGGCAAGGGGCGGGGTCCACCTTAGACAGGCCGTATGTCTATTAAATTTTTTTTTTCTAAAATGTAGCAATATGAAAACTCTTGAAACTTCAATGCAGGTCAGTGTATCAGCCATTCTCTGGTGTGTAATGGAGACCAAGATTGTGAGGATGGTTTGGATGAAAGAAATTGCAACCAGGACAACAGCCAGTACTCATGTGACATTGACAAGACACCTCCCAACTCCGAATTCACAGGCAGAGGGTGAGTAGCTGCAACGCCAGTACCAAGAAAGTGAATTTTTACCATGTGGGGATGAACATAGTATGTCACCTATCAGATAAAAGTCGGTCAAATGGTGCTTGCTATATCATGCTCTACAGGTATGACGTGTTAACAGGGAAACTGAAAGCAGGTGTCATCAACACTCTGAGCTTTGGAGGCCAGTGCAGAAAGGTGTTCAGTGGTGACCACAAAGTCTATTACAGATTGCCACAAAACATCCTCAGGTACAACTTTGTGGTGAGTTGAACAAGACATTTATGTTTAGTGGCCATGTTCACAGTCAAAGCCCTGCCTTCTCTGCAGTGATTGTGATATGAATTTATATAAGTACTAATACCTACTAATGCTAACCTGCCGATGTTAAGGGTGTGTATGTTTACTCTGTTCACCATGTTAGTTTAGCATTTATTTTAGTATGGTAACACTGACTGCTTGGGATTAAACACAAAATATACTGTAGCTGAGACTGACGAGAATGTCAGTTTAAGTGTTGGACAAATTGAAATTTAGCACTGATGGTGAGCTTAGATAGTAATAGTGCACAATGACTAATTCTCGCAGCAGCTGCTCTAAACCAAATGTTGAGCTGTTATCTTTGTTTGTGCTACAGGTGAAAGTAGACGATGATCTGAGCGATGAATCCTATGAGAGTTCCTGGTCCTACATGCAGCACATCCAGTCCAATAGCTTAGTGGGACATGACCGTCGCACCTTCCACAAAGAGCTCACTGACAAAAAGGTAACCGGCTCATATAACCTCCATAAATCGCTGTTGAGACTGACTGCAAGTGTTTGACAGACTTCCAGAATGACCTGCTGTCTCTAGGCTCTTGTGTTAAAGGTTTTTATTCAACAGGTCACAGGAAATCACATCCCAGTCTTTTCTGTCTATCGTCCAGGCCTACAGAATTATAATCCTGAAGAATAAAGTGGAACTGGCCCAGTTCCAAAACTCTGCCCCCCAGTATTTGACTCTTGCTGAAGGCTTCTGGAAGGCCTTGTCTTCACTGCCATTCACCTACGACTACTCAGCCTACCGCCAGCTGCTGCAGACCTATGGCACACATTACATCTCAGAAGGCTCACTCGGAGGCGAATACCAAGCCTTTTTAGAGCTAGATCGCCAGGCGCTGGCTTCAACCAGTAAGAATTTTTGGTGTTAATACTGTTGTGAATAATATAATTTCTTTTGTATACCCACAAATCTTGATTCAACACATCAAATCTTTTATATTTTAAGGAATTATTGTGAATTTGGTTTTGTTTTTGTTTGTTTTTTTGTCATTGCTTTTATTGGTCAATATTACAGATACAGTCTGAGACAAAGATGAAATCTAGGCAACTAGTTTTTATTAAATGATTGCTTGCAAAAAAAAAAAATCAATAAATACATTTAATAAAATCCTTTAAAAACAGCCACTGCCATATCTAATTGTAAGTAGTCTATTCTTATATTCTATATTTTAGCATTTTAAATAGTGTATATCTCTTGCTTCTGTCTTGCTTGTGCAAAGGTACAACAGATATTGAGTACCAGAGATGTTGGAGAAAGGTGAAACGTCGTTTCTTCAGGAAGAAAGTCAAAACTGTCTGTGAAAAACTGACAAAATCCATATCCTCCAGCCATGGTGAGAGAAAGTCGTAACCCGGAGGGTCAAAGAAATTACACTCTGGGTCAATTTAACATTTTTTTTAATTTAAATAAACAACATTTAACTTGATAATCATTCAGTCTAACTTAAGCATTTCCCATTGCCATTTGTCTGCAGGACACAGTGTAAACAAGATGCCCATCAAGGTCAATATTTTTGGAGGAGATCCAACCTTCATTGGCGCTCTGTCTGTTCTGGATCTGGAAAACCCAGAAACTAATGGGGAGGTCTACGATAACTGGGCTTCGTCTGTCAAAGACTTCCCTGAAGTCATAGACCAAAAGGTATGGCAGTCAGCACAGCTGGTTGATTCTTACTGACTTGATTGATTCAAACACTCAGTTTAGAAAATTTTGTTATTCCTTTCTCAATTATTTCTTAACTTTGCTTATCATACATATTGATTTTGTTTTTCTATCTGTCCCCATGTTTTGTTGTAATACATCATCATGTTCAAGTGTCTCTTTGTTAAGCCCCGTCCCCCCTTAGTTACTGTTGCTTGGTCGGTTAAGTTGTAATTTTTACTGTTTACATGTTTGTAGTTAGTGACACTGATGGTAAACATCTTGAAACTCATTTATTCTTTAAACAGTGATTCAAGAAGCAGGCAAGTGGAGCTTCTACACGCCATTAATTTTGCAGGTTGAGAGATTTTACTGTGCCTGGATAGCTAATTTACAATATTGGTCACATTTGGTACAGTATAAGGTAATATGTCAACTACAACTGAAAGATTTTTCTTTGTGATGTTGCTGCCTGCTGTATTTTGATACTAATTGGATCAGAGTATCTCTAAAGTTAGTTACACTAACTGTTCACAAACATTTTCATTCTTCACCATCCCCCATTATAAATGTATATTTACCAGTATGTACTATGTGTGGCACACAGGATTCTTTTTGGCATAACAAATGATTATTATGATAATGAAAATTAAATATATGATTTATCATCTCTGTCTAATGGTTTGGATATTTTGTCTTGCCTTGTCTAGTATCCTGTGTATTTCTTCTTTTTCTGAATATTCACATTACCTATACACTTATTTTTTAGCTGCGTCCTCTGTATGAGCTGGTGAAGGAGGTGCAGTGTGCTGGTCTGAAGAAGCTCCACCTGAAAAGAGCCACAGAGGAGTACCTAGCTGAGGAGCATCCCTGTCACTGCCGGCCCTGCCAGAACAACGGCCAGCCGCTGCTGACGGGCTCCGAGTGCCGCTGTGTGTGCCGGCCGGGAACCTCAGGACAAGCATGCGAGAGTGGAGCTGTGATCGGAGAGCAGCCAGGTACTCAAATAGAAGACTCTGAGGGGATTATGGATTAATCGGGATTAAAAAAAATAAATTACTAAAGTAAATGTTAAAATAAATCGTTTAGATAAACTGGGTCTGAAAATAACAAAAGTACATTCAGAGTTAGTTGTTGCATAACATTTAAATTTCTTAGCTATTTGCTCACTTATTTGTTAAATTAATATCAAATATTTAAGAATGAAAAACATTATGTTGAAACTGTTTTAATCTAATACTGTAAAATTTACTAAAAAGCCATTTACAATGTCACAAATTCATTGTGTTTTGGCAGCTGCACCTCAACACCTCGTATCTAAACTAACTAAACTGTCTCAGCATTTGATTTAAAGTTAGTGGCCAGTGATTTTCAGTTTAAGTTCAGTACGTTAAAGAAACTATTATCAAGATCCTGAGGAAAATTGAAGCAAAGGCTTAAAAATGATAGTTTAAAATTTAGTGTTGCAGAAATACAAGATTACCCCAAATCATCATATGTCAGAACCCTTATTATGAGAAATATTTTTCCTATTTAAAGAAAGCAAAAGTTTAAAAGGGTCACAATTAAAGTTGAAGTTACAGTGGCATCTGGACAGCAGAACAAATTCACAATGAAAGCAGAACAAGGCAGAGAATCTTTGGTTTTTGTCTCAGGGGTGATCCATGGCAGCTGGAGCTGCTGGTCTGCTTGGGGGTCTTGCTCTGGAGGTCAAAGGTCAAGGACTCGCAGCTGCAACAACCCTGCTCCCAGCGGAGGTGGCCACCACTGTGTTGGACTGAACATAGAGCAGAAGTCTTGTGAAGACCCAGACATCCAGTACTTACAGTATGGACACATATACACCTTGTTCATCATGTAGGACAGAGCCCTTTTCAGAGAGATATTTGCCCTGTGTGGAAAAAAAGGCAAGGGGTTGCATTGGCAGCGGTGGGTTGTTTCAGGAATGGATTTATGTTTAAAGCTTATTAAACTTCAAAATACAGCACATTGGTTTGTAATACTTGCAGACAGGACTGTAAAACTCTAGCAACTGTTTTATCTTTAGTTGTGGTGATCTCGAGGTAAAGAGCATTCACCTTACAAAGTAATCCACCAGGAAGGTGCTTGTGCCCCAAAATATTAAAATTTATCTTGTGGGGACCAGATTTGTGTTACAAAATAAAGTCTGATTCAAACATGTACACATAGAGAGCTTACATGTTTTCAATATTTGTTGAGAAGCTAAGACGTTATTGTGATATTCTCAGTCATTTGATAAGTGGTAATATATGATCATGCATTTTAGAAGTGTCTGAAATATCAGAGAGGGTACCAAGCAGCAGGGGTGTGTAGTATTTTAATTTTCTCACTGTAAACTGTTGCTCTATGCAGGATGATGGAGCCTCAGTGTTTCAGCTTATCTGTGACTCCACCAAAGACATGTGGTCCGCCTCCAAACCTTAGAAATGGATTTGTTCAGGTGAGTCTCTGTTAATTACATTTCTATTACTACTGTTACTGCAAATAGTAGAACACGAGACAATGGGCATGTTTTTGAGCACAGCCTCTGTTGTTGTATTCAGAATCCTAGAGAGTTTTACCTGGTGGGAAACACAGTGGAATACTCCTGCATAGATGGGCATTACCTCAGTGGAAACGCTGTGGCTCAGTGCACAGAAAATCAGAAGTGGAGAACTGGAGCAATGGTTTGCAAAAGTATGTTTTCACTTTATTATGCAGAAGGTTTTTGTCATATTGTTTGTTTATGGATAGGGATATCACAAAATCTACTTACTGTAACAGGTATCAATGAAATTAAGTCTGAGGCTGGCCCATTGGCCAAGAAGCCAGCAATTAATTCTTGGTGCAAATCTCACCTTCTTGATACAACTTTCGAACAAAACAAGACTGCCGTGAGCCATTGTCCGCCACTGTTTATATGCAGATGTGGATCCAGATGTATCTTAAACATTCCCTTAGATTTTCTTTAAAAGATTACAGTGTTTCCCTCACTTTGTCTTACTTAAAATCCCTCTCTTCCTGTCCCAGGTTCCACATGTGGGATTCCACCACTCAACAGTGAAATTACAGCCACGCCCATCAAAGCAGCCTATCAGATTGGAGACACCATATCCCTGTCCTGTCCTGTAGGGTCAGTGCTGGATGGTGAGGTGTCAGAGATTATCTGCAGTCCCAGTCTGCAGTGGTCGCCTTCTCCTGCAGATGCTCACTGTAAAGCAGGTACTTTCCCTCCCTCAAATGTTTAAAGCTCATATCTTTAACAGAAAGTGAAACATCTAGCTGCTAAATGCTCTATAGTGTTTACCAGCTGATTGATAACTTTGTTTGTGTGCCTTCTGGTGCTGGGCAGTTAGTGTTTATTCAGTTTATTTTAGGGTGTAGTGAGTGTGAACCAAAACAGCTAAGCACTTATCTTATAGTTGCTATAATGTGTCATAGATCTGGGGTAACCTGAGGAGGCAATTATTCTGTGTGGAGTCATCACAGTCATCTACCTACAAGTAGTCGTGATGAATTGTTAAAATAAACCTTTCGAATGGAACTACTTTTTAAGGTCGCATTTCTTTGGGGTATACATATACACACAGTAATCCTGCTTTCTATATTTTATTCTCAGCGCCTACAGCTGCCTCTCCTCCTCCTAGCATGAAGTGTAAACCATGGGAGAATGTAGGGATTTTTACTGGGTGTGTGTGTAAAATGCCATTTCAGTGCCCGTGAGTATGATTTTTGAGAGCTATTTCTGCATTATACACAAGGAAATTTCCATCTTAAGGTACACTACAATAACAACTGAAATACTTCATTATTCTAAATACTGTCTTTATGTATAATAGGACGTCTCTGCAGTTGTGTGCCAAACTCAGCTCAAGCCAAACCCGTTTACTGAGTGTTTGTCAGCTCGGAGCTTTGCACTGCGTAGGACGGAACTTCACGCTAGTCAGCGACAGCGAATGTGACTGGCCAGAGGAGACGTTCACGACCTGTGAGAACTGTAAACCAGGAACAGTCTGTCAGGGTGAGTCTGCTGGGCTGCTATGAAGCATAATTCTGGTTTATTACAAGTTTTCATTTATATAGTCATTCTTCAATTCTTCATTTTAATTATGTGTATGTGACTGCATAAATATTTTTTTAAATTGTAGAATCAGCCAGAAAATGTGTGTGCCAGAACACATCAGAATGTCCTCAAGGCCAAGCCCCCCTGTGCGTTAACTCCACTGCTGGCAGTGTTGCCAGGACGATGACCGAATGCGAGGTGGGGGCCAGAAGGTGTGCTGGCCAGCAAGTCAATGTGATTAGTATTGACGCTTGTTCAAAATAAAGATCGTTGTTTTACATTTTTTTCTCCATGCCTGAATTGTAAATAAAAACAACAGCCATTTTTTCTAGCACTTGACTACTGTAAATAGGTTCTGCTGCCATCCTGTAGGTTCTTGCTATATTTGCCATGGAGAACTCATGATCGAAGACATCTGCATTTAAAGTAAATGTAAGGTTTTGTTTGACAAAATCTTAGATAAATATTTGTGTTGTAGATTTTGTTTGCATCATAGAAAGTTACTAAAACCCTTGTAACATAGCTTTTTGTTCTCTTGATTTTGTAATAACGCCATATATGTGAACAGGGTTATATTTGTGCGCAGTCACCCAACAGATTTATGAACCAGACAGTTGTTATAAATCATAACATCCACTCTGCAGAATTTCAGTTTGATGGCAGTGTGTATACTATTGAAAATCATGTTGATTTCCTCTGTATTTACCAAATTTCATCAAACTTTTTAGTGTTTATTTGAGTCATTGTAATAAATTTTCTTTGGTCGACCCTTCTTTGCCTCAGGTTGAGTTTGGGTTTTGTGAATCACTTGGTCACTTTAATATAATTCCATGATGTGAAAAATATTCTGAGTTGCAGTTGAAAAAGTAAGTGCATGGCATCCTTAAAGGGTGTGACAGTCTTTATGAGGACCAAAAAGCAGACAATGTTACAATTTTATATTTTTATTACTGCATTTGAAGCACATGGACAGTAGCAAGTGTAAATATTCTACTCTGTGCCTGTATGTGACTGAATGCTGCTTCCGGCTCTGTCATTGAGAAGAGAGTCAGACTAGATCAAAAGCCAAAATAGATAGAGTTCACCAGCCTTGATGTTCTTCAGCTTTTCCATGCAAAACATATTGTAAATGCAACAGTACATTGTAAGTTTGTTTTTCTATTATCACTAACAGATGTTCAGATTCTACCAAAATATTCACTGTCCATGCTAAATTTTGTGCTAATTTGACATTAGGTGACAATATATGTGGTATTAATATCCAAAAATCCTCCAGCAGTGCCAGAGATATCCATCCATCCATTTTCTAAACCGCTTAGTCCCAATGCCAGAGATATTTCACCTTTTATTTATATTGTCATTTTTATTATTTTACTGCCATCTAGTGGCTTTTAAAAAACAGGCTTTGAAAGTGCACTAGATGTACTGTCCTAAACAAACCACCCATTAAAGTTTGATTTAGCAATGCTCTTGGCTCTGCCATGGCCCTAATTAAGTGTGCCTTTGACTCCAAGTTGTATCAGGTGCTTTAACCCTGGTTTACCTCCTTGCCTATATATATATATTTTGACACCTTCATTGACAATCTCAAACTGGTAGTTAGCACATTTGAGGGAGGCCATAGTACAAAGGTCCATACTCCGAGTCCTCTGAGACCTAGTCAGCTTCACACAAAACATGTGCACTTCCACTCTGGGGCAGTCCCGAGCAGCTCTGCACTCACACTTTTTAGACCCTGAGAAGAGATACAAGTTTATATTAGGAAATGAATTTGATATAAATTCTAATGTAAAGTTGCACCAGATTATGTTTTCAAAATGTGCCAAGGCTGCACAGAACACATGTAACCGTATGTCTGACAGGGTGTTGTTACATGACATCTGGGTCATATCTTCAAAATATTCAAACCTCATTTTGTTTTTAATTGTCTCAAGAATTGTAATACTTGCCATGTTCACTGATTTAAATTAAAACTGATGAATGAAGAATTCATGCTATGACGTTTTGAGTGACTGCCAGTTCAAGATACAAGCAACAAAGTGAAAAAGTGAAGTGCATTCAAAATAAGTGCAGCAATGTAATGGAAACATTTCATTTTTCCATAATTTTGACTATGCTATAACATTTAACTCACCAGGACCACAGCACAAGAATGTATTAACTCTGCCAGACACAGTTTGAAAAACCAGTTCACCAACTATGACGTACTGTGCTTGTGCAGCTAAAGGTTTTAGCAGTTCAGTGGATAGTTGTAACAGATATAGGCATAGTCAGTGGTGGAAGAAGTACTATGATTTTTTTACTTAAGTAAAATTTTCAAAGCCACAGTATAAATATACTCTGTTACAAATAAAAGTCATACATTCACAATGTTACTTAAGTAAAAGTACAAATTTGCATCAAAGCACATAAAAATATATACATATATTTACTGCTAAGAATCTTCAAGAGTCTCCACCCAGAGTCAACAAAGTCTTATGATTATACTGCATTTTGTTATTTTGTTTTATTGATTTGATTCTGAAAAGTAACTAGTGACCAATAGTTATCAAAATAAATGTAGGGTATCAAAAGTATAATGTTTGCCCCTGAAATATAGTAAAGTCAAGGTATGAAGTAGCAGAAAATAGAAATACTCAAGTATATTAAAAAAATGTAAACTGTACATAAGTACTTAAGTAATTGTTGTCAGTTACTTTCCACCTCTGGGCATAGTTCAACATTTTGGGAAACACACCCTTTTGCTTTCTCACTCAGTACCACTTGCATATCATAAATATTGAACATGGGACAAAATCAGGCTAGCTGTTCTTCTCATCTGACTATTCCTTGTGTCCACTTTAGTTTTCATATGATTTAGATAATATGGTTAAACTTGAGGTTTATTTAAAACGTATATGGTCTATGCACATAAACTCTGTCAAATCGATCCATCTGACTATTTTCACGTTATCCTCCCATGTTATTTTTCAAATGGCAGATATTCCATAGTTCCAAAAATGTATCTCTGAAATTGTGAAGATGTATAATTATGTTTTGATGTCATAATGAAGCCATAAAATCATATTGCCTTGGACTTATTTTGTTCATATAAAAATTTGATACTTTGCATTAAATTCTTAAAACAATGTGAAACTCTTAAATATCTGAAGCACATTACACAGTAAGCAAAGTAAAAGATAGATTAATGCCAAACAAACTCACCAATGCAGGTCTCCCATTCATTGCAGGTGTCAAGACCACAGGGCTCCTGAACAGAGCTGTTGGTGGACATCTTGGCTCTAAACTTGGCCCACTCCAGTTTGGCTGAATCTGCGGCATCGCACGCACCGTTGCTAACAAAAAAGAGTGGATCACCATGGCAACGGCCAGCATGGAAGGAGCAGAGGGACATTGATATAATGACGCCCACGTCTACGTTCAGGATACAGAGATTTGCTGTCTGTGAACTGCGCACACACACATACATATACAGGTCAGTTATTGTAGGTAAGACAGTATGCATTCGTAGCATAGGAAAAAAAATGTTTAAAAACATGCTCATACAAAACATGGAAAGGTATAATAAAACTAGATAGAATATTTCATAAAAACTTACAGGCAGCTCTCCCGTTGGATACAGACACACTGAGAGCCTTGTAGTTTCTGTCCTGGACCACACTGACCGTCAGGAACAAACGGTATCTCTACATGCACAAGGAAATAAGAAAACAAACAAGAAATGAGAATATCCTCAATACAGAATATTTTCAATTCAAACTATATGCAGTATATTCACATTATAAAATATGATCTATTTTTATGGATAGGTTGTTTTTTTTTTATCAAATAATGTTAGGAAAAGCACGAAATGAATGGTAGCTGAATTCTATTTCGATGCTGGCTGAAATTATTGTGCTTCCATCAGAGCAGACTCTCTTTTTCACACAAAATGAACATAACAATGTCCTTGGTAGTGCTAAAAAGCCACTCACAAGCACCATGGTAAAAAAAAATTGAAATCCATCCTCTTATGGTTCCAAAATTTGATTGTAGTTAAGTATTTAACCGCACATAAAATGGTAAAGCATCATTTAAATCACTATGCAGATATGAATGTAATTGAACTATCAGCAAGCTACTGCAAACTACTAGTTTAATTGCTCAACAACAGCGAATATTATTGTCTCTGTTGATATATGAAATGCTGGCATGAACTACCATTAAGATATTCAGATATATTCAGATAAATAATATTACACACATTAATTAAGATTCACAAAGATGTTTGTAGTTAACAAGTCAAATAATTCACTGGGAAATGTACTTTTACTCAGAACAACTGTGTATGGTGGTAAAAGCTTAGGTTTTACTTCATGCTGATTATAGTGTGCATTAGACCAACATATTGTAATTAGTGTTTATTTCTTTAGGATTTTAGTGTTCCTCTGTCATACACCTGCATGAGAAGTACAGGATGTGCAAATTATTCCTAATTTCTTGCCACAGTGGGAGCTCAGAATTAGTAATTCACTGTACCACTGGTGCACCGTAGGTCCACAGGTAACGGAGGCTCCCAGGCGAGACTGCTGCTGCATTTGAAGAAGCTCTGTGGCAATGGCACCTGGCCCATCTTGTTACAGTTCAAACCCACTGATTCCCCCACTCTGTACTTGTCTTTGTTGGGGAACAGCG